CTGATAATGCTAACCCAAATTGAATTACTTCCAATGGAAATTAAACAAATGTTGGTCCAAAATGTGATTTCCCTATATAAACTATAGTAAAGTTTACCCCCTCCCCAGGGGGAAACGTGAGACCCCAGGGTCATGAAATTCACAATTTTGGTAAAGCACCTTAAGACCCTTCCATCTATGAAGAGTATTTGATTCTACCATATCTGGGTCTTGAGAAGAAGATTTTTGAAATTTTAGTCAATTCAACCCTTTTTGGCCCCGTCCCTCAGGCCCCTGGGGGCTTGGGACTAAACCGGCAACCAGTTTTGTTGACCTTTGGCCATGGAACGTTCCTGCAATATTTCATTGAAATTGGTTCAGTGGTTTTGGAGAAGAAGTCGAAAATGTAAATTGTTTACGGAGGCACGACGGACGACGACGGACAAAAGGCGATCGCAATAGGTCACTTGAGACTTTGTCTCAGGTGACTTAAAAAAGTCAGTTTATAAATATATATATATGTAGATGTGTTGTCTAGGTTGAATCCACTATCCATGTTTATCCGAGACATGCCCTTTTTTTTTTAGGATCAGGCCATTTCTACTGTACTCTGCTACCTATCACCATGTCAAATTAAAAAAAAAAAAAATAGTCAGTATATGTTTTATATAAATAAAATTTTAGGATTGAGAATGTCTTCCCACCAAACATGAAACCCATATATACATGAGCAGATGGTTTCTTATAGCTAAGAAAAAATAGACATAAGTTTTCTGATCAGCATTACATTTTCAGTTTATTTGTAAAAATAGATGTGTGAGGTACTTACGCTCCAGGGCCTTCCCATGTCCATGTGTAAGTGTCCTGAAATTCAACAAAGGAAAACATACAATAGCTTATCAATATTAACAAATGATTTCATAATTCCAATTTCATTTTGTTCATTACACTATCATAAATGATGATTTCAGAAAGGATGTGCAAGAATATATTATACATGTGATTAATTACTATTTGAAGCATTATCTTGTCCTTTTGTTTATAATTTGTCCTGTGCTATATGATAAATGAGGTTAAACACAAGGTAAGTTTGTTAGTTACTGTATTGTTGTTTTGTGCACAGCCCTGTTTTAATGTTATGAGTACAGTGTTACATAGGATCTCGAAGAGTGAAATCTGTGGTGTAAGTTGTGCAGTATTTTGTTGTTTCTAGATGTTTCAAGTTGTGCTGGTGATTATGTGTTCTTGGAGACAGCATAAGATGCATGTATACGTAAGTGAAAGTAGTCTATAATTGGTTGTGTTATATTTGTCTCCTTTTTCATGCGTACTGTACTGAGCTTTGCATGTTTCCAATCTTTGATTAGTATTCCTGTGTTAAGTGATTTCAGAGATATAGTTTTAAGTTCTTGGAGTATTAAGCATTGTGTGTCATGATGTGGTCTGGTCCCGAGGCTTTTCTGGTATCGTAGGGTCTAGTTCTATTATGAATTGTCTATTTAGGATGTTTGCCTTTGTCTCCATATCTGTGGTGAGGAAGCTGGGGTATTTTGTGGAGCTTAATTTCTGGGCTTTTCTTAAGTGTCATAAGTTGTTTTGATGGATAAAAAGTTCAATAGGTTGAATGGGTGTTTGCATCAAGCTGAGAGTTGTTCTGAATTTCGACTTAGGGCATAATGCAGGTTTATTTCAGACTTCAACTTTGTATTGTATGCATCAAACTGTGTTGTGCGCATCTTTTGACATGAAGGCATCTGGTCTGTGTTTGAATGCTATGGGTTTTTGTAGTATGCTTCTTCAATATGGTACGGGAGGATCGTTTTGAAAAGTTGCATAGGTTTCTGCATTGGAGATTTCTTCATGTTGATTGGTTAGTACAGTAAGGTCTTGTCTGATAGATGTTGTTGCAATTCACTAAATCGTATTTGTAGATGTTTCAGGGTTCTATATGTGTCTCGTTTGTATTTTGATGTCTGCTTCTGCGTAGATAATGTCTCGGTCTGCACTTGCCGACGTGTGGGACTATTTCTTGAATGTTCAGCATGGATACAGTAAGAGTAGAAGGAGGTTGCCATCAATGTAATGTTAAGTAGCTGTAGCTACAGAAGGACTGGATCTACTCTGCCTGATACGGTTTTGTCGTTTGTCCAGTGTATGTGTGGTAGGTTCAAATATCCACTGTCAAGTGTATCTATTAATTAACATTCCCTTGCTTTCATGCAAACTCTGGTATCAAAACAATTAACAAAGCACCATATATATACTGTGGCATAAGGACCAATTGTTGTCTGTGACGCTCTGGAATTCCATAGGAAACCTACGTGCAAAACTTGGTAAATGTAGGCGATAGTGTGTGAGACATGGCCTCAACAAAGTGACATGCAAAAAAGTGCCAACCTGTAGTCCCCTCTGTAGTACTGTGTGAGGGACTAAAAATGTTTATGTGTTGTGTACTGCTATTTTGTTTAAAGGTTTCAAGTTCTGCGAGTGGGTGTCCTTTGCCTGAATGTGGTCTGATATTGTGTTGTTTAGACATGTTTTTTGTTCTGTGTCAAGCATTTCTTCTGGATATAGATTATTTGCTCCATAGGGATTGGAAGTTAACTGTAAGTTAAGAAAATTATTTTGAAAACAGTGCTTCTTATTTACCAAATTAAAGACATGTTTTCTAATAAAAGTTGTTTTCTCTTTATATGTTGTTTGTAAAATTGTTTTTTCTATATCTTGTGATTTGATATGAACTCTTTTTAAGAGTTCCTGTCCCACTGTAGGCAAAACACTGGAGAGTTCCACTTCAGTTTTTCCTGCATACAGTAACCTCCCCTTAATTTTTATTTTGGATATAACCAGCATGACTGGGCTGCAATACCACCTTTGACCAGGTAGCTCGGTTGTTAATAATCAAAGGTCTAGGGTTCAAATCCTGGTATGGTTTTTAACCAAGAACACTGTTGTTAATTATTGTTGTTTATTTTATCTTCATAATTTGTTCATAGAAGTCTTGCAAGGAATGGTTTTCTTTTCCGAAAGGATTTATGAAAGCTAGTCATGCCAGTAAAATAAAATCCAAATGAATGCATCTATAGCTTCAGTTTTGGCAGTGGTACAGTTGTGGTACAACAGATGATGACACACAAGATACAACAGATGACAACCCACAAAAGGCAATCACAATAGGTCATCGTATATATTAGTATATAGTCAAATATATTGACCTAGGTAATGTAAAAATCCCTTTTTTTTTCCACGATTACATTCACTAGCTTTAAATTGGTACGGTTCACACTCACAAATCAACATTTTTCTGTTAACCCTTTCACCACTATGGACCATAATGAACTCATCCAGATCAATGCATAGTAGAGTTAACTAAAGTTACACAGGGTTGAAAGGGTTAATGTCACATTTCATTTTATATCAAATTTACCTTTGATAAATGACACATCACATTACGAAGAATGAACTGTATCAACCTGTGCAGTCAAGAGCTGTGTAGTTCAAAACATTTTTATTTTAGGTAAAATATTGAAAAAATTATGATATTAAGCTTTCATTTTAAAATACCCTTTATGACCATACATCAATAATCTGTGTTCAACAGTTTCTAGCCATAATTGTTTTATCAAAAAACAAAAACATATTTTTTTTTAGACTATACATGTATAATGTAATACTTAAATGTATAATACGGTTGTCTCTGACAAATTGTCTTCTACATACCATTTTGTTGGGGTAGCGTATACAGACAGGCTGGACAGGCATACAGGGGTAAAAAGCACCTGTAAATTACAACACCAACATGTTACCATTAGAGAAGGAGTTTAAAAGTGTCCCAAAATAGTACAGGCTTAGCAAGCATGGGAAACTTTTTTAAGAATCAATTCATTGCTGTAGTGACAATAAAACACTAAGGTCTGATAATTTTTATTTATTACATTTTTGCCAGTGAAATATTGGATTCTATCAACTTGATAAAACTGATATCTTTCGCACCGTGACAAATATCACTTTTTGGTATTGACCAATCATAACGTTATCTTCTATTTGCTGCATTCAAAGGCAACAATTTTTTGTTCAGATTCAAATGAAGCGACGGTAGAATAAGTGGTTGTTATGGTAAATGTTTGGTACACACACTTCAGTATTTACATAAATATACAATTAATAACATTTGTATAAGCTATCATACCAGAAAATAGCAGAAAACATCTGAATTGTGTTGAGTATCCCATTCAAAATGTCGTGCAGCCTTGTTGTCAAGCGTGACGTCATTAGAATATGGCGCTAATTATTACGCTTCTGATTCCCGCCCTTTTTTATGCATTACATTTTTCATGTTTTATGCTTAAAAATGTAATGCTCACTTGTGAAAAATATTAAAACATTAACCACACTCGTGAAATATATTTGTTATTACTGAAGACACCATTAAATATCCTCTATTTCCTAATTTGTCTTTTTATATATATCATACAAAAGAAATAGGCAAACATAGAGTGAAGATATAAAGTTTTACTCCATCAGACTTCCAATTACCACCTGGATAGTTATCATCTGATTCTGGATAAGAATAAATTGATTTTTTTCTCTTTTTTGAACAGCAACAATGACTTTTATTTCATACATCAGAAACAATAGGAGTCTTTCTTCAATAACAATCAACTCACATTTGAAGTTTAAAATGAATCCAGGAAGGCATTGTGGACAGACAGATGAACATCCCTAAATAGACAATACTTTATTAGGGCATCCGTACACATTAATATGATTACTCAATAGTAAATTTTGAAATAGCCATACCAGATTTGAAATTGATGACAGCCTTTCTGTTGGTACAGGTACCTTCCGGGAAGATGATTATCTGTGGCCACTGACCTCCTGACTTAGCCCTGCGGTTGATTTCCTTTATGGTGTTCTGACGTGAGTTAGGGTCCTCACGATTTACGTAGACTGGTTGTGTGAACGCCATGAGAGCTAGAAAACATGTGATATAGTCATAATGTAAACAGAAAAATGTTTATGAACAGTTCAATATTGTCATATTAATGTCTTTATAAAAATATTATTTCTTATACCGTATTTAAAAAAAAAAAAAAAAAACATTACTTGCCAGAATTCAGTTAATCAAGCTTAATTTGCTAAGTGATAACATTTTCAAATTGAAATTATGTTTTCCTGCTCTAAGGTTCAAATGATCATCTTCAGATAAAACACACAAAAACACTCCTTTATCATTACATCTTTTTTAAATAATTTCAAAATTTACATCAAAAGTTGTTTCAAAATGAGACACCGAAGCTTGATAAAACTGACCCCCGGTGTTTTTACTTGACATTGTGGGTACACATGTAAGAATTTTATTAGGGACACTGCAATTCAAAATAGTAACAAAAGAATTAACCGAGTACACTGTCTATAGAAATTAAACTTTACTCAAGAGATATAGAAATTAAACTTTACTCAGAGATATAGAAATTAAACTTTACTCAGAGATATAGAAATTAAACTTTACTCAGAGATATAGATATTAAACTTTACTCAAGAGATATAGAAATTAAACTTTACTCAGAGATATATATGTAATATATGTTGAAATGATATTGCCTGCTTTAATTGTCACAGTCCTACTTATCTCCCTTTAAGTGTGTAAGAATGTTGTCTGAGTGTGAGCAGCTACAGAGAGATATAGATAGAGTGTATGATTGGTGCACTGTGTGGAAAATGAAAGTGAATGTGAAGAAGTGCTGCCAGGTCATTTTTACAAACAAAAAGAAATGTATGAATTTTAATTACACTATGAACCTGAAGAATGAAATGTGTGTGAAAGATCTTGGTGTTTGGCTGACCTCTTCGATGAGTTTTAATACCCATATTAGACGTACTGTTTCCAAATCAATGCGAATGCTCGGTTTTATAAAACGTACATGTAAAAGTTTTAAACAAATACCTGTTTTAAGGTCTCTTTATATAAGTCTTGTCAGGAGTCAGTTAGAATACTGTTGTCAGATCTGGTCTCCTTACCAAACATCTTTAATTCACCAGGTCGAAGTTGTCCAGCGTAAATTTTTGAAATTTTTATGTTTTAAAGCACACGTTGACTACAATTCCATGTCTTACGCTGACACTTGTAGGCATTTTAATCTTCCTAGCCTCGAACATAGGCGGGCATTTTTAGACAGTGTATTTCTTTACAAATGTGTAAATAGTGCTTTTGATTGTCCATATTTTGTCAAGCAAATGTATTTTTCAGTACCTGGTCATAATCTACGATCAATTCGTTTCAACCAGTTTTACAGCCAGAGAAGTAGGATAAACGTTAGAAAGTATAGTATTTTAAACAGGATTCAATGTCATTTTAACTATCTTGATTTTGCACCATACTGTGATATGTTTGTTCCTCACTCTCAGAGTTCAAATTACGGTTAAAGAATAGTTGCTATCACTAATTCCTTTTGTTTTATATATGAGTATCTTTAAGTCTGTGTTACATGCATAACTGACTGTGATATTTTATACTTGTGTTGTAATGTTGTTATCCATTCTGTAGGTGGACCCTTGGGTCTGTTGAATTGGAAATAAATAAATAAATAGATCATCAAATATGCCTTAATACTAGATTATTGGAAAGTAAAAGAATCATCCAAAAAATGTTTTTTCCCTCCATTACAGCTGTACTAAGTAATTTCCATTAAAATATTAATTACCCACTTTAAACAAAGTTTCCAGTTGACATTAAAATTCTAATAATAGCAAAGTATTTTATTTTTCAATTTATTAAAACAGGAAATCCTACTTCATTATATTTATAGTATATAAACTAGAACAAATACCAGGGATATTATTCCTGGGGAAAAAAATATCAAAAAGGGGTAGTCTCTAGCATAAAGGGAGCGACTAGATACCTTTTAACTGTTTCACCCCTATTTAACTTCAGTAGACTCTACCATGCATTGATCTGGATGAATACATTATGGTCTACAGTGGTGAAAGGGTTAAACTTTGGAACTTAACACATTTTAAAAAAAGTCATTTGTTAGTAACTCTTAGACATTTGAAATATTGCTACTCAGTTTTCTCAAGAAACATTTGAAAGATTGTTAAATCTGTATTTGCACACAGCTGGAAATTATAGTCCAATAAATATGAGTTTACTGACTTTTGAACTTCCATTCTACATTTCAAATATATTATGTGTATATATGCTATAATGTGCAATAATCAGAAGCTTCAGAAATACTTTTTCCTGGATTAGGTATATGATTTGATTTTGATAGATTGTGTTAATTATAGATGTGATTTTATCTTCAGGAATATCAGGGAAATCAACGCTATATGTACATTTTGATATATATATATATAGGATCCTATGATAATAATAGATTACTTTTAGTATATGAGTCACAGCTTGACAAGGAAGAGATCGTCTAACAAGATTAAAGCAGTGAATTCGTAATTTGAAGACTATGTGTATACCGATTGAGAGTAGAACTATCGTGTAAAATCGCACAGACAGAGGTTACTAGCTATAGGGCAAGCTAAGTTTAGCTCAAATATTATAATTAATTCAATTCCATCATATTTGAGTTGCGAGTTCTGACTAAAATCCTATTGGTATCACCTTATAACTACCAGGTACATTTTCTTTAAATCTTGTATCTTCCCTGCTTTTATTAATTTATAAATTATTTTAGTCTGAAGTTACCATTGATGCAAAGGATTTCTCTGTGTTTCAATGTTCATTGAACAATTCATGCTTTTTTCATTTGAAAATAACATATTGAGAGGTACAGCTTATAAATGTTCTCTGGTTAATGCTTAACAGCATGCTGGTATTGCTTTATACAGCTGGGTAAAATGGAGCAATTAGGATAACAAGGCAGTACTGTGTAAGACATAACAAACTTTTTTTTATAACGTGGAGGAACAGTGATGTCACACCTGTATCTCTCAAAATATTCTCTATTTTATTTATTATTTTTCTATTTCACACACAAATATATAACACTGAATTTGATATGGACAATCATCACCACAATATCTAAACAATATTTTGAGATTGGGAGTCGAACCCATACCTACCAGCCTACCGAGGTTCAAACCCTATTAAATGTTCTAGACCTGAAGGCTGACCGGAGCTAGCTGGTGAAATACTTGATACCTATGGTTGGAGTCTTGCTCTATGCTTGCCCTTATTATATCAAAAATAACTTCTTATCTTGATTCAAACTCCAGTTCTTTTCATATTGTCTCAGAAAAAGATTTTGTGAAAATTTGACTTCATACAATGAAACCTTTAATTGCCTCGCAACTTTGATTGACACTGGGAAATTTCTGAAATACATTGTTTTCCTGAAAGTTTCTTTATTTTTTACATTTTCTAGGGCAATATAAATGTTTCCTGATCACAAGATGTAAGATTAATTAGCATAGCACAAAAGCATGTGTATTGCCCATTGAAGAATAGATTGATCTGTCGTGACCTTATAGTTTGCTGACAGTATACAAGGCTTCATTGACAAAGCAATAGACTCCCAGATATATCACCCTATAGACCTTACGCAATTCAGACTCGGTGTTAATAGAAGCACTGCTACACTACACTACACTACACTATCACACACCACCACAAACCACATATATATACCACACGTTAGCAATGAGTGTCATGCACATGCACAAAACATGCAAATTTAGTGGGCACTGATACTGAACACGAGAAAAAGGAATGATGCAAATATTTTCTAATAATGTCGACAAAAGCAATTAGGATGAAAATTTCTGCAAATAAATGCTTTTCTGTAATAGATAAATAGAGACATCCAGCCCCCACCCCGAAATCTCCTGTAATGTATGTACCGCTATACAATGTAGGAAATATACGAAAACACATGATATCCTACCACGTTAATGATAATGGACTCGAAACACATTATATCCTACCACGTTAATGATAATGGACTCAAAACACATTATATCCTACCACGTTAATGATAATGGACTCAAAACACATGATATCCTACCACGTTAATGATAATGGACTCAAAACACATTATATCCTACCACGTTAATGATAATGGACTCAAAACACATTATATCCTACCACGTTAATGATAATGGACTCAAAACACATTATATATGATATATAGTATCACAAAAAGATGTGTTACAAAGAAATTAAATGTAAATGAAAACGTGAAAAAGCAACAAGTATTTAAAGACAGTCACAGTGGCCTACAATAGATTACCTGGAATGGAATTGACAGAAGAATTCTGCGATGCAAAAAGAAAATTTCCAAATTTTGCTTAACTGTATATATTCACTGATAATCCAAGAAAACTATTCACTAATCATGTTGAGCAAAAACAAGAGGTCCAATGGGCCTGCATCGCTGACCTGGTATAAATCTCACACTTGTTACCCTGAAAGTGATCTAAAATAAAGCTTCAGGCAAAATATCAGTATTTATGATTAAAATTCATTAAAAAAACCTGTTAAAAGATTTTAAAACATTTCACCCCTGTGACTTTGAAAGTGGAACAAGGTCATTATGTTGATTTTTTTTATAGCCTTTCATCTCAGGATGCAACTTGCAAAATATCAACATTCTGGGACCCATGGTTATTCAGAAGAGGTTGTTTAAAAGATTTTAAATTAATTTGACCCCTGTGACCTTGAATATAAGTCAAAGTCATGCACTTTAACAAACATGGTAGCCCTTGATTCCAGCATGCTCCTATCTAGATATCAACATTCTGGGCCTTTTGGTTATTAAGAAGTCGTTTAAAGGTTTTGATCATATTTGATCACTCTGACCTTGAATAAATGTCAAGGTCATTCACTTGTCAAAACTTGGTAGCCCTACATCCTATCATGTAACAGGCCAACTATCATCATCCTGGGCCTTTTGGTTATTCAGAACAAATTGTTTAAGATTTTGAACATATTTGCTCCTTGTGACCTTGAATATGATTCA